AAAGAAAGACAGCCCGCCCTAAAATCTAATTTGTAAATATAAAAACAAGCCTAAAATGAAAAACACTCAGTGAAACTGAACAATAGATTTGGGGTATAAACTATGTTATGTGAAATGTTGAAGGAAACAAACACTGAGATGAACTGTAAACAGACCGCTGATGACCTGAGACAACTTCAAGCAGCCCGACACATGGGTAAATCAAGTCTGAAAAAGGGAAAGAGACCACGCGCGCACGCACACACACAAATTAAATAGGTCAATTTTTTCCAAGATTGGTTAAATGTATGACTATTTATAATAAGCTCAATGAATACCAAGCATTTTCCTGTATGAAAACTTGTACCAGAACATTGTATCAAACTGCTTACGTTGATTTTAAAAGGAGTTTACAAAATAGTTAAAAGACTAACTAACTAGTCAGAACAAAGTACTACTGCCAAGAGACCTGCATGCCTGAGATGATCTCAGCACTCAGGAGGCTGAGGCAGGAGGGATCTGCTCTGAGTCTGAGGCCAGCCTGGGCGACATACTGAGTGCAAGACCAGCTTCAACTACAGGGCCAGAGCCTACCTCAAAAACAAAAGCCCAACTAAACCCAATACTGCTAAGGCACAACTTTTAATATTTATATACCCAGCAAAAAAGTGTCCTTCGAAAATGGTATTTGCTATTTTTATAACTGCATGTGTCTGCACAATTACAAATTGCAACTTTCTAAAAATAACAGATACAAAGAGCCATCCATCACAACAGACCTGCATTAAAATTGTGAAAAATCCTTCAAGCAAAATGGAAATTACACCAGAAGGAAATGTACATCTACAGCAAAAAAGGCACAAAGATAGGAAATGGTTAGGTAAATAAAGAGCAAATACTTACTAAACACAACAATATTACTGTACACAGCAATGAATTCTACAATTATTTTCAAAGATACCACATTATAGGCTACTTCTCAACCGTGTCCACTCTTTTTATCTCCCAGTAATACAGCACATATTTCAGTCATGAAAAGCTTTAAAATTTAAAACTAGAACATTTATCTTTAATTTTAAGAAGTACTTTGCGTAAAAAAAAAAGTACTTTGCAAAGTTGTAGTCACAAATCTCACAGTGGAAATTTCTAAACCTAAAGCAATAGAGGGTAAAAAAATGTAATAAATTTCTAAGCTGTGTGTTTTTCTTCTTTTACTTTGTTTTTTTAAAGCAGAAGTAGACAGTACATTTAATACAGAACAATATCACTGCCGCATTTTGTTGCAGAGATGGTGAAAAACTATACAGGACTTCAATTCCTAACTCTTCAGGCTGCTCACATTGACTAACCCCAACCCACAATGACTATGTGTACTGCCCAGCAAGGCTCCTATGCCCTTGGACCATTCTTCCCTCCCAAACTTACAAGCAAAACAACATCCGACACCGATGAAGGAACTCGAACAAAACTGAACACGGACAGGTAGACATTTAACAGGTGGAGAGAATACCTGTTAAGCCTGGGCGAACTAGCACCAATTTCAACACATATTCATGTCCAGTGCTAAATTACACTCAGTGAAGACATCACACAAACCCAGCACCTCATTGCATAAAACTCAACCTACTGAGAAGAGGGGAGAAGGGAGGGAGATGAACGGGGAAAAACAAATCAAGTTATATCATGCAGAGGTACAAAATCCTGACGAATGTGATCATAGGTAAACCTAAAATGTGCCAATAAACTTAAAATTTTAAAAACTCTCAAATCTATTGGAACAGGACTAGCCAGGTTTGTGCTAACTCGCATACGCAGCCCCTCTGTTCTACCTCTCTCAGGCACAGAGTACATTTTACACTAGTTCTTCAGCAGTTCCCAAGTTCGCTTTTTTAAAGGACAGTTAACGTATACAAACAGCACTGCAAGCTCGGTGTGTCGAGGAAGCTCAGCGCTAAGCACCAGGGTCCCTTCACAGACAGATGCCGTCACCAAGGTGTGCAGAGCCAGGAAGGAATCTGCTCACCAACACTTTGCTCTTCAGACTACAAACTGCACCATCCACGTCCTCTTCCCTGCAAGCGAATGCTGCAAGGCTGCAGTAAGCTGAGTGGAGCAAACTCATAACAGTCACCACAGGGTCCTTCCTGTGACTCAGTGACCTCAAAAGAGGAGACACACCCACACATTTCCATCAGCCTACAGACTGCGTGACGGGGCACCACGGAGAGACCCACGCTGCTATGTGCAGAAATCAAAAGCCCTGTAGAGCAAGTTGAGATGTCTCCTCTGACCATTCGTGCATAGCAACTCATGTGTCACATGCACTGCTGATAGCTACTAATGAATCTACCACAGAGAATGCTCCTTATACGCTTGATTCTCTTCAAAACTCACTCAGTACAACCACCACCATCACAAGGTCACTTGTGTCGTACACATCTAACAGATGAGGAAAGTGAGACACACTTGGAAATGTGAGAGTTGTAATAAGAAGCAGAGACCAGCCCAGCCACTCTCTATCAGGCTATGCAATCAGTCCTTAAGACAGAAGCTGAAAACCTACTACTGTTTGCATTTCTTTCTTCCCTCAACCCCACTCGAAAAATATAAAATCAATCCTACTCTGTGTGGCAATTCAAGGACCTGTCCTGGATTCGGCATCCACAGTGTACCCCAGGATCAATGTGTCCCTTCTACATGTTCTTCCGGGTAAGCCTTATCCCACAGTCATCCCTCTAAAGGGTTATTCACCCTAGCTACACAGGACTGACCAAGATCTATTCATTCTATTTTCCACAAACCGGAAATATCTGGGGAGGAAATGACAAATTTTACAACAGCAACAGAATGAAAGGAGACAGTCACCGTTGCATTCAGAGGGGATTAAATAAAAAGCTCACATTTTCGCTAATGTCTTCATCCTAAACAAAAAACACAATAATGTATAATTTTTTAAAACACCCTCAATGACGAGGGAAAAAAAAACCAAAAAACACCATCAGCTTAAAAATCATACACATACATACACATACACACACACACACACACACACCCCTTATTCTCTAAGGTTAGCTGAGGGGCTTAATATTGTAGAAAGCTGTTTCCCTTCTCTTCTCTGTCTGTCTGTCTGTCTTTCTCTCTGTTACTGGGGACTGAACCCAGGGCTTTCACACTGAGCTATATCCCCAGTATATTTTTATTAGAGGGGGTCTTAGTAAGTCCCTAAACTGCTCAGGATGAGCTTAAACATGTGATCCTCTTGCCAGCTTTCTCTTTTAGAAAAAATGATTTTACATGCTGGTCCTCTTCTTGGCTAGGCAAAAAAGATATCTGTACATAGGGTGTAATGGTTCTCTCCTGTAATTTAAAGTATTTGGGATACTAAACCAACAGGATCAAAAGTTTACGGGCAGCCTGGGCAACTGGTGAGACTCTGCCATAATTTAAAGAAACAACAGTAGAGGTGTAGCTCAGTGTTCCCTGGTTTTAGTCGCCAGGAAACAGATCTGTTTGTGCCTCATCACTGCCATAAAGAAAACCTCTCTGGAAAACAATGAAACACTCAAGAAAGAAAAACTCAAAACTAAAGAACTCTCTATGGTTGTCATTGCTCTCTCCTAAAATAAACTCACTCAAAGAAAAACAATGGAACACTGTATGGGGAAATTTAAGGTTAACTGAGTAACAGCTTTCTGCAGCAAAATAAAATTTTATAAACAGAAAAATATTTTTAACCATACAGTTAATACATTTGTTACAAGAACCACCAAAAAAAATTTAATGCTTCAATTTGTGAGTTGGAAAATTAGACCAACTAAGTGAGGTTTCCATGGGTCCTCACTAGATAATTTTTTTTTTTTTGATTAGAGGAGTTAATCTCCATCATGACATTTTATTGTTTCATACAGCAGTCAGAATCTTCAAAAAACAAGGGCAGAACTAGAAGTACAATCAAAGCTTCTGCATCTTAAGCCTTTTAGTCCTAAAACTGAGTTAAGCAAGGCAAAGCAACTTTCCTCTTAACTAAATAGGTCTCCAGTATTCCACCTCACTGAACTTTCAAACACCAAGTGTTTAGGACTTAACACATAGCCACATTGTTGTGTCTGTGTTAATTATGCCTGAAGAGCTTAATACCCATCCAGGTACAGAGGGGGAAGAACACATACACTGGAATGATGATGGGCAAGAGCAGACTGTAAAAGCAAAGGCTGGCTGTACTTGTGCAGCCCTGTGGGAAGTCCTCCTCCAGAGAGGCTGAGTAGAACAGACCTGCTAAGGAGGCTAAGGAGATCAGTGGAATAAGCACAGTCAGAGTAGGCAGAGACAGAAACTTTCTTCCTCCTCACTCACAAAGTGTATATAAGAATTAAGAAAATGTAGCAGAGCGCGCACACCAGGAACTCTAGCAGCGCAGGGTCGAAGGCGAAGGCACGGGGCGGCTGCTCCGCACCCTCGCTTGCCCCCACCACGAACCGCGAGCCAGCCGTGCAGGGTCCGGGGCACCACTGCCCGCGGAGGCGCGCACATACCCAACACGACCCTCCGGCCCAGCCAGCCCAGCATGGTCCGCGCCACAGACTAGATAGACAATTTTTAATAGAAGTCATCAACATAAATTCCCTCTCATTGCTCCAATTGTTCCCACCTTCCTGGTTTCCAAACAAAGTAGACAAAATATATAGTAACTAGTGATCCCAGAAAGAAGTGAACAGCAAGAGTGATACAAGAAACACTCGCCACTGCTATCATTCTTTCAATAATATGTTCAAAGCAAATACATAAATCTTGATGGTGGATTTCTAGGATTCAGTCTTTTCTTCAAGAAATTCTAAATAGTGAAAGTTTTAGAATGCAAACAACTGATCTTAAACGTTCTCTTTCCAGCTACATGTGGTATTGTAATCCCAACGCTCAGGAGACTGAACAAGCAGGAGGGTCATGAGTTTAAGGCCAACCTGGGCTACATGGCAAGATCCTGCCTCAGAAATAAACACACTCTTCCTATGTTTGTATAATGTGCAGGCAACAGAATACTCACAGCGAGGAAGAAGAGCCAAAAACCTACCCAAAGCCTGAATTCAGATTTGGAAAATAAACATGGTCATTGGTACTGAGAGCTTGACTCGACTCTCTCTTGACTGACAGCAAGTACCTGTCAATTTACTAGAAAGATTCAGTACAGAGACGATAGACATGTCTCAGCACCCGTCTCCAGAGTACCCAAGCAAGGCCTGCGAATCCAAGTTCAAAATCATCCACTCTGCTTCTGAAGGCAGGGGTGACACCAAATCCCCTCAACAGCAGAAAAGAGTCAAAACTAATTTTCTTCAAAGCTTGATACTACTAAAAAATTATGATCTTACAAATCATATTATGACCCTGTAAAACTGCAAGAAATGCATGCCCTGCTAACACCACCTGGTGGAAGGCCGCAAAAGCCTCCTCCTGCAATGAAAGCCTCCCTAAAAGAGTTTCAAATACAGTGTGGCCCCCACGGGTTTCACTAGCAACTTAACCATAATAAAAGGATGCTATCATCACTTTTTTTTTTTTTTTAAACTGTATTTGGTATAAGGTCTCACTACAAAGATGGGACTCACAGTGATTAGCCTGTCCAATGCTGGGATTACAGGTGTGTGCCACCATGCCCAGTCTCAGTGGCTGGCTAGGTGTGCCAGGGAGGTTGGGGCCGACCTGGCATGTGATGCCAGAGATGGAATTCCGGTCCCTGTGCTTGCCTAATCAGGCGCTCAGTCTGCTGAGCTATCGTGCAGGACCTTTCATCAACTCTTTAAAAACGCAGTAAGACAGTATTTGACACAGTAATCACTGAAGATTTGCAGTGGCCAAGATTGCTGAAAATAAAGCTGAATACATATTTTTCTTTCCATGCTCCCAGAGATTTCAAACTGAAGTGAAAATTAATGCCAGACAGGTGAAAATGCACCTGCACTGGGGGCACAGGCAGTGTCGCCACACACGCCAGGGTATTATCAGGTGCACAGTCTGACTGAACATCCTTGCAATCCCTTTCATGGTGATTCATTTTTTCAAACTGGAGCATGGGGAAGGGTTCTTGTGATGCATGTGTAATCATTACTCAGATGCTCAAACAAATGTTTTGTAAAAGACTGCCATAGTACACAAAGCCCAGGATGCTCAAATGGGCATCTTACGTGGACTTGCTAACTGTACTCTGATAGAATGACGCACAAGAGATGAGGACAGAGAAAATGGGAAGGGGACTTAAGATACACCCAGTGCACTAGGGGCTATTTTAGGGACATTTCATGATGAAGGAAAGCAAACTAAGGAATTGAGCTATGAGCCTAAAATTTCAAGACCCACTGTAATCCCTGCATTTGGGAGGATAAAAACACAAGGATCACTATGAGTCCGATCTATGTAGTGAGACCCTGTAGACGCTGTACTAAAATATATTTAAAAAAAAAATCAATACCCAAAATTGATGTGAAGTCTCTACAACTGGCTAGTCTTTTCCTCGTATTTTTCAGCTATCCCAAGGTTCTATGGATACATATATAAATGGTTTTCCAAAAGTAATTATAATTCTGCAAATGAATCAACAAAGCACATGAGGCCAAAACACTCCTTACTCTCACACACTCTGTGTCAACAAACACAGTCATGAATACGGCAGTAACCCAGGAAAACATCAAATACGATGAAATAGTAATTCTACATGTGGTAATAAAAAATAAACACAAGAGATATGAAATTGGGCCAATACCAGCACCGGGTTTTTTATTTAAACAGCCAAGGGAAACTATCATTATATAATGTCACTGCCACTGACATTGAAACCACAAACATATGAAACTAAAGGAGTCAACTTCCTTACCAAACTATCTTAGGTTTAATTAGGAAATATAAAAAAAATAATTGCTGGTAAGCTTGGAGAAAAAAAATAGCAACTTGGCTAAACAACAATATATTTAGAAGAGATAGATACCATGAAAATACTACTTTCCTGCTAAGGAAAAATAATTTCAAAAATACCGTATTTCATTCTTCACATTTTTTCCAAACATCTCCCTTCCGAAGATGGCAAAATCACATCTGACATCTCATCACCATTAATGCTGGGTAGTAATCCATGAAACAACTGAAGAATAAAATTAACTGGTAACTCTGTAGCCAACTGCTACGGCAGGGGCACTATTTTGTTGAGTCCATGACGCTTTCTATTTATTCATTTGTGATCATTATTACTGGACAACACTTAGGAATCCTGTAACGCTAACTCCTCCACAAAAGCAAGACATGAGTGTGCCCATGTTTCCTCCCATGAGGCATGAACTGGCCACCTTTGTTTGCCATCCTGGTTAATAATATTGTACCGGTACTTCAGCCTTGGGTACTAACCTTTTCCTCGACGGCCCTTCTTCAAAATCTGAAGAGCTAACATCGTTGCTAGTTGAGGACACCTGGGATGCATCGTCCTTCTCATTCTCTGACTGTTCTGATGCTGGTCCTAATCCCTTAGACTGGTCATTACCAAGGAGCCCTACAGGTGAGAAAAGGGGACAAACACTTAAATACATCGCATCAGGAAGCAGCGCTTTACCAACATTACTTCTACGTGTTGCTGACAAGACTGTGGGTACAGGGGAAATTTCCAAGTACACAAATCCTTGGAATGGGCAGAGAACAATTAAAATGTTCATGCTATTTTAGGCCTTTTTAGGAGAGCAAGATGCCCAACAAGGAAGCAATTTCAACAGAGGGGTATCCAAGCAGAAATTTGGGATTAAGTGATACATATAATTTAGGATTCTACTTTAACATATGTAAACATCTCTTATACCTAAAGGGTGGAAAGGAGTGTCAATTATTATTAAGTCAAACTAGTCATTTCTGAATGTTAAACGTTTATTCCAGAGACTGAAATCTTTGGAATTTCCTTCCGGAAGTAGAACATGCCACACAATAAACATTATCCTGTAGCTTAAGCCTAGACATGAAATCCTAATACATGCTACTGTCTCTTCAGAACCATCTATTACTATAGACTGTAACCAAATTTGCCATAAGTCTTCCCAAAAGCAAAGGACTCTATGACTGCAGGCTTTCCACCTTTGGTAGGCTAGCTCTTCTCCTGGGATTAAAAAAAAAACAACAAAAAAAAAGAAGACCCAGGGTGGAAGCTGCTGGCCCTCAGGGGGCTCCAGAAGTAGTGATATGGAACTATTTTAACAAGCAAGTAGTAAGATAGCAGCTAGCAAGCAGCAGCTCAACATAAGCCTCACTGCCTTCTGTTCACACTCATTTGAACCTACATGTGCAATGTAGCTTCTATCAATGAGAAGATGCTACTACATCAACACCCCAGAGCAACACTGCAGTGACAAACACTGCAGGTACTTGGGACTGGGTGACAGGTGTGCCTACAGTTTCATGGAATCAGTATTTGACCTCACAGTCAAAAGAACAGAATGACCCCTTGACTTTTATTTTCTCTTTCAACATTTCTACCAATTTCATTCCATACGTTGTGTCTCAATGACTCAAGGGTGATTCTTGGTAGTCTAAAGACTTAAAGTATTTGTCAGCAAAATAAATAAATAAATAAATAAATACACACCTTGGGCCTTCCCAGTTCATGCATAGTGCCCCAGTTATTTTTTTTTTAATTTTATTTATGTGTGTGTGTGTGTGTGTGTGTGGCCAGCTCAGCCCACCAGGGGGCGGGGCTGGCTGGCATGTGGTGCTGGGGGATTGAACCGCGGTCCCAGTGCTTTGCTAAGCTTGTTCTAAGTAGGTGCTTTAGACCACTGAGCCATCTCACCAGCCCTGCCCCAGTGGAATATGCACTTCCCTGGCAAGTGCAAGGGCCTGAGTTCAATCCCCGGTTCCACAAAAAAATAAATAAAAATAAAAAATAAAATAAAATAAAATAAAAATTATTTCAGAGAATGAGTAATAACCCAAGGTCAGAAATCTAAACAAGGTATCTCCTGGCTATTCACCTACATGAATGGGTCTTTAACTGTTATGACCGTTATGCTATGGAACTGACAATGAATTTCTCAAAGAAAGAAACTGTGGGAAATTTGCACTAGGAAACAGAGGAGGAGGAGGAGGAGGAGGAGGAAGAAGAGAGCAGAAAGAGGAGGAGAACGGACATGGGACAAGGAACAAAGAAGGAGGAGGAGGGGGAGGAAGATGAGGGAGAGGAGGAGGAGGAATAGGAAGACAAGGGGGAGGAGGAGGAGGAGGAGTCCAACAGTGCACAGACCTAGGAATTCAAGGATAGAAGTGTGGCCAACATTTATAAGATAAGAGCTATACTATGCATCACAGGAACCACTAGTGAGTAGTTATCAAAAACTTGAAAACAGCTAGTCCAGATAAGGAGATGAATTTTAAATGTTAAAAGTGAATTGTAGTACTCACTACTTCATACTCTTAACTGTACAAATATTTCAGGTGTGCTAGGTGAAATGCATTAAAATTAACTCCACCTGTCTAATTCCTCTGACTACAGCTCAAGAAGTATTGTGACTAAACTAGTATTTCTATTTACTCGCAGTCCTTTAGAGAACACTACTAAAGAGAGGGAAAGAGGAATCCCCAATCAGGAGCATAATACAAACACTACTTTCAGCATCAGTTAGAAATAGAGCCAGGATCATAATTTACAACCCAAAAAAAGTAAGATGCATCTTAAATCTACATGCATCTTAGATTTACTTTTGCTAACACTATGTTGTCATGAGACATGGGCACAATCCAACCAAATGGAAATTCTCTTGAGAAGAAAACATACACACAGTTATATGTTCAGATTATTTAGGGGTAGGTGCAAGAAGAAATGCCAATTTATTTGGCAAGGACCAAGCAATGCGGGGGGAGGACTACTGAATATAAATCAATACCAGATAGCAAAGTCAAGTATCAGTGATAACAAGAGCAAAAAAGATTTCCAATGTGCTTATGAAACACAAAACCTCTGGGTTCAATCCCTGGGGGGCAGGCAGCAGTGACGGAAGGCAAAAGACAAAGTTCTTGCAAAGGTATGCTCAGACTGTGCAGAAAAATACCGTCAGGTAAAGATGGTAAGAATGTTCCTCTGCCCTTTCGTGTAGAGTAAAACCTTCTACAGGGAGAAAGGTAAGCTAGAGAACTGATGGCTTTAATCTTGTCCTTACAAAGAAGCAGCAGAGAGCATGACAGTTGTCCAACTTGAGCCTGCCTGAGAATCATCAGGAGGGTTTTTTCCCAAAGCGAGTCTCATCCTAGCCAGTATTCATTCCCAGGCGACAGCAAAGCTGCTTCGGGAGCACCTGGAGAAGCAGGTCTACAGGAACTGTTAGGTACTGGGAAGCTGCAGGCAAGTGTGAATGGATCCAGACACCTGACCATGACTGCATTGTATCAGCCGGGACTTTCAGGGAGGCGCCCACAGGAAGCTCTGACAGCAGGGCATTCGTCCATCTTCTATAAAGTCCTGGGAAAGTACAGGCTGGCTTACAAAACTCATCAGCAAAGCTGGACAAGGCAGTTGACATGATAAACACAGACTCAAAAAATAACAGGTTGGAGAACATGTTCATATCTAAAAAGTCACAGCATAAAAAAGCTTCTAATGCCCCCTAAATAATCATCTAAGTACAAACTCAAGGAAACTCCACAAACAGAACTTATATGAAAAATACCTGGGAATTTCAGATGGCTTCATAATGACTTTAACTGAGACAAAGACATGAAGCCATCCTGATTCCAAGGCATGACTGAGCCACATTAAAGGGGCCAACAGTAGGTGACTCCATTGTCCTTCTGCCCTCCTCAGATCAGAATCCTCATAGCCCACCATGCTTCACCCCACCCACTCCAAGGAAGAACAGTGAGTGATGAGCTAAACCCAGTTGTTGCCTGAATCAGCCACCCCCAGATTCAGGAACACAGAGCCCATACAGAGTTAACTGCCTGTTATGCAGATTAAAGGACCACAGCTTTCCTGGCCTTTTTGTAGGGGCAGGCCTGATGTTGTCCTGCAAATGATAAACTTTGTATATCTCAGAGCTCCCATTCTGTAGATAGTAGTGGGGGGAGGGGGAGAATTTATATATAATTTCAATAATCTACACTGTTGGATAAACCAGGACTGTTTCGTTTTCCTCAAATCCACTCTCCTTCCTCGTATCTCCATTATTCTTTCTCACATTGATTTTTTTTTTTAATTTCCATTTTGAATATTTTAAGCTAAATCATACAGACTGCCAAAGCTAGGAGAGCCAGGTCAGCAAGAAGGAATAAGATGCCACAGGGCAGAATGGCCATTATTACCGCATCGGAGGAACTAAAGTACCCTGCATTTTCTATGCCCATAACACAGCTCTGCCACCAGTTTTTTAAATTATTATTTTTAGCCAACAAGAAATAATGAACCAGCATCCCTCTCTTCACATACTCAAACGATTTTTATTTTACAAACCCTTCCCCCCCAACCAACACAAACCTTTGTTGCTGAGAGGAGGTTAAACAGAGGAAATTGAATGGCCCAAAGATTCCATCTCCTCCATTAGCATTTGTTCTCCTCTATTAATATTCAGTAGGTTGAACTTAAATTAAACCATGTCTATTGTCTTTCACAAAAGCAATAAATATGAGCTGAAAATTCCAAATCACTGCAGTAAAGACAGCTTGGGGACTGTGCCTGCACCCTTGGCTAGACACCATCAGCTGACAAGAGCAATATGCCACAACTAGGACACCCCTCAACCACCATGGTACAGTACGCAAGAAATCAGATGCATCACCCAAGAAACCCGACACACCAGAGCCCTGCCACCAGAGGTTCTGCAAATGTAGGCGCTGCTCATGCCATCATCTCCCTAACTGGCAGCAAATGAAGAGACTTTTCAGGGCTGCACAAGGAAATGCAAAAGAACAGGCTTTTTTCTTAATCTGCAACAGCAAGAGAAAGGGGCTGTGCGATTTTCTGTTGCAGACTAGAGGTACTATATGTATGTATGATTACCTCCCTGCTGTCTCTTTTTGAAGGAGGCTAGGAAAATAAACACAACATAGGCCAAGGATTCCTTCAGCTAGGGAACTTCGGAGCAACTGATGAGAACTCAGGATTTCAAAACACAACGTGTTAGGCAGTTCTAACACTTGGCAGGGGGTGAGAGGACTACAGCATGGAGTCCTTACAATGAGCACTAATATCCTCCATGTGCAGTCATCACTAGTCCCCTCTATCAGCTACATATATGATGGAAATCAAGCTAAAGGAAAACCCAATGTTTCCCATTCCACAAAAGCAACGCCAATAGAAAAAAGGGTTAAAATGAGAAGAAAAAGAGGGAGGGCTTTGAATTATTCCAGGGCTTCTCAAACATCTGGAGCACACCGAACTTATTAGCATATAAGGGAGAGTCAATGTATTTAGCTTTGTTGTGGAAGCCATGTACAAAAGGTGATTCAGTGTTACAGAGCCAATGCCGTCTGCCACCCAGTCACTGTGAGACGAGGTATCACATTACATATTAAACAGACAAG